GAGTCGCTTCATCAGAAGCAGGCCCTGGACGTGCTACAGCGACTTCGAGTCCAGGGGCTCCTCAGAACCACAGAGTGAGTTCCCGCACCTGCGTGTGTACCTGCCTGTGTGCAGGGGTGGGGCCACAGGGCCCAGCTGAAATCTGATTGGCTACCGGAGTGCCCCTTCCCCTGTCACTCACTGATGTCTAAACCTGTCGTTGACTGATGGTAAAGTTGTCACCTCTGTATGAATTATGGTCCGTGGTCTCCCACCATAAAAAAAATCCCAGAATTTCCCCCCGAGAGTACCTAAGAACACCAAAAGGCAAGCGTCTCTCCGCTGTGATGAGCGTAATTGTGCGTATATCCAGCTCAGCAGTACGGACGCTTCGTGTGGCACACATGAGGATACTCGCTGACTCAGCTTGTCACGACCATGTTACCCTGGAAGATTAGTGTAAAGATGCATTTTTTTTGTTAATCTTAAACTGTGCATGTGTCCCTCCCTGTTGTAGTATAAGCAGATTGTTTACTGGTTTAGCTATTAATATAAAATGCAAAGTGATGACGTTTTTGCTTCCATTTGCCCCCCGCAGGAAGGGCACGGGGGTGGTGGACCTGGCGGCTGCTGGGGACCCGTCCTGCTTGGCCACCGTGCTGCGCAGTGATGGGACCTCGCTCTACATCACCAGGCGAGTGGCTCAGTGCTGCCCCCTGTGGATGACGGTCCTCCCTCTCAAAGCCACAAATGCACACCGTTTTTTTTCTTTCTTCTTTGCAATAAACAAAGATTGGAGATGGTTCCTCTGCTTCCCCACAGAGATCTTGCTGCAGCTATCGATCGGAAGGAGGCGTATGACTTTGACGAGATGATTTATGTGGTGAGAAGCTTCTCGCATTTCTGTCTTTCCTCTTTCAATCTGAGGCTCGAGGCACATTTCCAAGTGGGGGGGTGTTTGTGTGTTTTATCTTCATGCAGACAGATAAAAGTCAAGAGGGCCACTTTGGGCAGGTCTTTCAGATCCTGCGGGCCATGGGCCATCAGTGGGCAGACAGGTAACACTTACGGTGTGACACATTGTCCCAGAACCGGGGGGGGCCTGCATGCCGCTTAGTTAAAGCTAACCTGACCATTCAGAGCCTAATCTATGCCCCCTAGGGAGCACTGTCAGGTACTGCAGGGTCTGGTACATCCGGAATGACGAGGGACCTTAAGATATTAAGACAGGAAACGCTTGAGTTTGTAACTTTTGACTATTATTGGTCAAACATAATCTTGATTTGACTTCATTATAATGATTAATTATTATAATTATTACATGCCAATGGAAAAGATGGGTTGCTGTTGTTGCTTTACTGCCCGAACGTCTGTATGTGTGTGTCCCTGTCTGTGTCTGTCTGTACGTCTGTATCTGTGCGTCTGTGTCCCTGTCTGCATGTTTATTTGTACGTCTGTGTCCCTGTCTGTATGTGTGTGTCTGTGCGTCTGTATCTGTACGTCTGTGTCTGTCTGTACGTCTGTATCTGTGCGTCTGTGTCCCTGTCTGCATGTTTATTTGTACGTATGTGTCCCTGTCTGTATGTGTGTGTCCCTGTCTGTATGTGTGTGTCTGTGCGTCTGTATCTGTACGTCTGTGTCTGTCTGTACGTCTGTATCTGTGCGTCTGTGTCCCTGTCTGCATGTTTATTTGTACGTCTGTGTCCCTGTCTGTGCGTCTGTGTCTGTGTGTCTGTGCGTCTGTGTCCCCGCGTCTGTGTCCCCCGCCCCAGCTGCTGCCATGTGCCCTTTGGCCTCGTTCGGGGCATGAAGACGCGGAAGGGCGATGTGGTTTTCCTGGAGGACGTGCTGGAGGAGGCCAAAGGCAGAGTGCTGAGGAACATGCAGGCGACCCGGAGTAAGGAGGGGGGGGGGCTGGCAGATGGGCGGGGGCTCGGGACGGGCTGGCAGACTGCTGTATTCACACACACTCGCACACAGCGGCCAATTTAGAGACACCAGCTCTCTTCTGGCTGCTTCCTGCACACGTCGCTCCTGAACAAGGGGCTGCCGTTGTCGTTAGTAAGACGGTCAGACTGCAGGAAGGTTCCCCCACGCCCAAGATAACTCTGTTGTTCTTTGACTAGGATCTTATCTTGCGGTGGCCGCTTTATGATTCTTTCTCCAGTTGTTCTGACTTCCAGCACCTGAGCATCGTCTCGCGACGTTACTGCTGGAGCATTTTATGACTTTTTTTTGTCCTACAGCCAGCAAGGAGCTGGAAGACCCTGACATGACTGCAGAGAGGGTGGGGGTCGCCGCCCTCATAGTTCAGGTGAGCCCCTCCCCCATGGATGTGGCCCCTCCCCCAACAGGAAGTAAGCCTATCAGAAAATAACCCTACTGTGTCTCCCATAGGATTTCAGGGGCCCCCTTGAGTCTGATTACAGCTTTGACTGGGGGCGGGTTCTGCAGACGCAGGGAGACACCGGCGTGTTTCTCCAGTACACACACTCACGCCTCTGCAGGTACAGAAGCGACTGATCTGGGGTCTTGAGGCGGCCGCTGCAGCCAGGATGCTTAACAATCCCTTTAGTCATGGCGCTACTCCTACTGTTACATAAGAACTATACAAACGAGAGGAGGCCATTCGGCCCATCGAGCTCGCTCGGGGAGAACTTAACTAACAGCTTGTAACTTCACCTCATGACAAATTGCACAGTGGCCCTTACAGAACCAATGGGGAAGCACTTCAAGCCCCACCTGGATGATGCGACGGCAGCCATTCAGCACCAGTACGCTCACCACACAGTAGCTAAGGTGAAGGGGCAGGAGAGAATTCACCAGTTAGATACTGGGGAGGATTAGGAGGCCAGATCTGAAAGGGCCACAGTGGGCAGTTTAGCCAGGACATCGGGGTACCACCCTTACACTTTCAGAAGATGCCCAGGGACCTTTTATGACCTCAGAGTCAGGACCTCGGTTTTATGTCTCATCCAAAGGACGGCACCATTTTTACAGCACTGGGATTCCCCCTGTTTGCCACACCAACACCTCTTCCAGCCTTCCATCCAGGTACTGGCCAGGCCCAAACCTGCTTAGCTTCTGGTTGGTTACCTCATCTGAGCTGCAATGGCTGCTGGCTGCTGACACAGAAATGTTTGTGCTCATGTATCCTTACAGTGGGCTGGCAAAACATCATGAGTCTTAAAGGCATAGAACCCAAACCATAAGTTCCCCCCGTAGTGTGGGGCCCTGATACACACCCAGCTGTTGTATGGTTCACTTGGTGTTAGGTGCTGTCTAATGGAAATGGGGCGTGTTCCACAACGCAGGATTTCTTCATTAGCCCAATAGGAATGTTACTTCTATCTCCTCCTATTGGCCAGTTTTCACGTTATGTGTAAGTTATCCAGCTAACTGGAAAATCCTGCTTTGTGGAATACCCTCATCGTTGAGCAATTTATTTATTTTTTTAAACCATGGTGTAATTTCAGTTTAATGCGGATGCATGGAAGCGGACAGTGGGGGCTTTTGGACCCCGCGCTGCTGCAGGAGGAGCAGGGGGCCGCGGTCCTGAAGCAGCTTCTGCGGTGAGCCTGTGTGTGTGTCCCCCCCCCGCAGCTGAATGGGGTTCATAGGCATCTCTCATAACAGCATTCCAGCTTTCAGGCCACTGACAGCAGTCGAGTAGAACTGGTTTGTTTTTCCACACTACCGGACCATGGTCTAATTCCCTCCCCCCGGCTTTCGCAATCAAGAAATGTCACCCACAGAGGAGTCCCGCCGATGTTGTAAGGTGTAGCAAGGTGTATCTGTGATCGGCAGGTACGACGAGGCCTTGCTCCAGTGCTCATGCGATCTTCAGCCCAAGCACCTGGTGAATTTCCTCCTGGCGCTCAGGTAGGCTGTCGCCCCGCCGTCGCCCCCACCTGGCCGCACGCTGGCATCGCACCCACGGCCTTGCATTGTGTCTCTGCCTTGCAGTCACCTGGTGGCCGTGGGGCTCAGGACGTTACCTGTGAAGGGCAGCCCCCCTCCCCTGGCACAGGTAATGCCTTACTGCCGGTAGTCGTGACAACGAAACTGCTGTCCTGAACGGCTTTAAGCTGCCGCCGTTACTACAACAAAGCAACCAGTGTTTGTGCTGAACCTGGCACAGGACCAGACCGCTGACCCGTTTTCCACTTCCTCTATCGACAGGCCAGGCTCCGCCTCTTCGACAGTGCCCGCACCGTCCTGGCCAATGGCATGAGGATCCTGGGTGTCACGCCAGTAGAGAAGATGTAAAGGCCGCAGACTCTGACCGGTCGTTGTCACTGCCGCACGCCAGCAGCGGAGGAGGAATTCCCGTCGGGAACGCCGCTTTGCCAAAGGGAGGGAACGCCGCCTTTCAGCTGAATCACAGGCACGTCACTCAGGCTCCCTCCCGTCAACCTTCAGTAACAGCATCTGAGGATTATTACTGGATGGAGTGACAAGTGTGTATAATATGCACACCAGTCTGTGAAGAACAAGCCTATTGGTGTTTGTACAGTTCCGGGTGTGTGCATGTTATGGTGTAATCCTAATTATTGACATTGGTAATAAAACCATACCTAACTATACATGAAATGGAACATACCCTACTGGAATGCTTCTGCAGTATTACTTTACTTAGGCAGGTAATACTGGTACTGAATATCGCTGCCATTTTCAGACGGGCATGACTGTGGACGGCTGTCCAGCAAGGTCCTCGTCCTGCTTTAAGCTCCTTTGTCAACTCCATCCATCCTGAATAGGACAAGCGGTTACAGAAGATGGGTCACCCGGAGGTGACAGGTGAACGGCAGGGAACGACCCAGGATGGGGCGCCAACCCATCACAGGGCAGATACACGCACGTACGGGCAACTTAGTACCCGGGGTAACCCCACAATGACGCAGGGAGAAACTCTACAGACATGGAACCCTGGCGGAGACTCGAACCCAGGGCCCAGAGGTGTGAGGCGACAGCGCTAACCGCTGTGCCGTCTAATGACAGGAATTTAGAAATCACCCGACTAACACCATATCATACTTTATTGGATGATACTTTATGGGCAGATTGTTCGTCAATTAGGCACAATTCATCACGATGATCAGGGTATCAGCTGCTTCACAGCCTCATGTCCAACATGCTCCCACTTCTTCAGTGATTCCAATGGCAAAGATAATGTTACAGTAACAATTTACACGTAATTAATGTAGCATCACGAAATCCCCAAAACCGCGCAGGAAGTGCAGATGTGTCCTTTTGTGACTCAGAACCTCAACATCCCAAACGCTGCTCTGAGCTCTATGCGGACGCACATCCACGCGAGACTGTTCACGATCAAATCCACGCGTCCTTCCCCAACTCAACTGACAGTCACGAAACTTCAGAACGACCAGAATGTTTTATCTACCTTCCAGTAGCCAAGGAACGGTCGACCGTCTCCCCCAATTACAAAACCTAAATCAGCCCTCAGGCAAGCAACATAAAATTAACACTGGTGAGAGAGGAATTTAAAAACAAATAATAATAAAAAAAACATACTTCTGGAAGTCCTGTGAATAAAGGTGTGTCCATTTCACCTCACACTCCTTCAAAGGTTCCTATGCTGAGACCTCCTTGCTCCTGTCTAGCACCAGGGTGGCGGGGAGAGTAAAGCACGGGGCAGTGGTTCCGATCTCACACGGCCAGCAGCTTCTGCGTGGCCTCGCGGTCCTGCTCGGGTCGCGCCAGCTTGCTGGTGTCCTGTTTCGGCAGGCCGTACATGTAGATGGAGATGCAGACCAGTATGGCGCCGCTGGCAAAGGTGGCGGCTGTAAGAGAGAACGAGGTCAGTGGTGCTTCAGGACCCACCGGAAAGCGTGTGACCACACCTGTCGGCGAGACGCGGTGCTGAACGGTTCCGACTCACTGATCTGTAACCCGAAGAGGAGGACCGAGGCCACCGTGGACAAGACGATGGCGGCAGCAGCGGAGAAGCCCTTCATGATGTTGTCCGTGTATTTCACCACTACCGATGTGTAGAGACCGCCCATGCTGGCCAGCACTGAGGAGGGCAGGGCAGGGCAGGGCAGGGGAGGGCAGGGCAGGGCAGGGCAGGGCGACAGAAACCACAGAACCCATGGTGAGAAGTTCAGGGCGAGAGCTAGTATCCTCTGGCTTCCCTCATCCGGGTGTTTTGTTCAGATCCCTGCACAGCGTCGGGTTCGGCGAACGCACCAACAGCACGAGCGCCAGATCCGTAACGTGACACATTACAGGTAACAGGAAGTCAGGCGCGAACAGAGCCAGCGAGAGTGTCATTAAATACAGGAGTGTCGACTTACGGATGACGAAGCACACCCAGGGCGTGTAGCCATAGAAAAAGCCCTTCCGCAGCACCCCACTGCCGTCCGAGATGAAGACGCCCGCCAGTGTGACGGCGATCCCCGAAAGATACATCTGGATGTTTCTCACCCAGAGGGACGTATCTGAGCTTTTCAGCACCTTCTCGAAGTACACTCCTGTTTGGAGAGAGAGTGAGAGCGTCTGACTAAGACACGCTCACTCAGCCGGCATACAAAGCAGTCTTCGGGGCCCTATCCCAGTTTCCCCACTATCTCTGGACATGCTGGTTGCTGTATCATCATGAACATCATGCCTTTGCCCCAAATAGAGCGTGACAGCAAGCTAGGGTTGAGTCAGCACTGTTATTCGAGAACATGTATAAAATCAACAACGAAAAAAAAGTTTAAATATTATTTTAGCAGCAATAATTTGTTGTGATTAATCTGTTCTCAAAAAAATTTGCAGTCTATTCATTCTATTCAGTCTCCATTCTGAAGTTTGCCTCTGCCTCTTTCGCATGAGCTCTGCTTGCGTTCTCCGAGCCAATCAAGCGAAACGATGCTTTCATATTGGTAGGGGTCAGCTGGCCGGGTCTCACCGAGACGAAGTGAACCTGCAAATGCTGCAAGATGGCCGTCTGACAAACACCTGCAGGATATTTGGCACATGTTCATGTGTAAATAAGGCAAATATTTTCTTAGGAGTCACCTCTGTGGATTTAGTGATGACTGTGAGAGGTGTGTGTGTGTGTGTGTGCGCGCGAGTGTGAGAGAGAGAGAAAATGCTGCTATGAAATGCAAGTGCAGAGCGCCAGTACCTGCAAAACCAGAACACAGCACAGCTACCGCGATGGCCAAGAAGCCGAGCAAGGGGTTCTGCTCAACCTGAAAAATGAGGGGGTTTGGGCACCTTTAACAAGGCAGACAGATGGCTATGCTCTTTCCGCACCACACTGATTGTGGAGTGTTTGGGCAAGACAACAGGCATTCACATTTCCTATTCATCAAATGAACGTAGGAACACATGCATCGAGCAGTCAGTCAGCTCTGGTGAACAGTGAACATTATTATGGAGCACGCCATAGCGCAGGACCACTGAAAGGGGGCGCCACCACAGAGACACTGGCTTCAGATCGTTTTATAACCGGTCCCAACAGTCACAGCCAGAGACCAGCGCTATCGGGAACTGACACACAGAGACCAGGGCTGTCGATCGTATAGGAACTGGCGCTATATGGGCACCAGGTTTCGGTACCTGACCCTAGTCACTTCCAGGGGTAAAGCAGCACAGACGACACCCCAGCACAAAGGCTTGGGGACAGCGAGGGCCCGCAGGGCCGGGCGGCCCTACCTGCACTTTGGTGGCTTCGGCAGGTTTCCACTGCACAAGGGTGACCCCCCCGCAAAGCAGGAAGACGGAGAACCACTGCAGCCGGTTGAGGGAGCGGTTCAGCATGAGGACCGTGCACAGGGCAGTGCAGGGAATCTTTAGCTGGTAAGTCACCTGGAGAAAGAGAGCCGCACTGGATTCATCACATGCCACGCCCTGCGCCCATTTCATTTCATTTCCCAAAACATTTCTGAGTCCAGATAATACAAATGCTTTTTCCTTCATACAGATCACACGTGAGGAACCACTGAAGGAACCGCTCCTGATGAGAAATACCTCCAGGAGACAGACAGACAGACATGCAGACTGTGCCGAGGGGAACTGGCCCTAAAGAGCGGGCAGAGGGGACGGGGGACGAACCTGGTACACAGCAGCATCCAGGTTACTCAGGGCCACGAAGGCCATGTTGTTTTGGATGGCGTACACCACCGAGGGCACACTCAGCTGCAGAAGCTCTTTGGGACTCCGGAACACATGCTGCACGATGGACATCCTCAGCTTACTCAAGTTCCCAGATTCCCTGCAAAAGCGTCAGAGCAGGGAGTTCCATCACCTTGGGGCCCTTACGGGGTGGGTGAAGACGACGATGGGAAATGTTATCGTTCACGGGCTTCGCTACTTACTTAGCCAGCATCCCCAGGCTCAAAACCAGCTTGATGACCTCGGTGACACAAACGGCCGTGGTGGAGAAATACAGGTCTGAAGACACGGTGCGTGTGAAGCGCAAAGCCACTGTGTAGGTGGCAGCCACCAGAGTCATCACGGTCAGGCAGTAGAGTTTGAAAAACAAGCTCACCGGTTCTGAAAAGAGCACCACGGATTATGGTCTTTGTGAATTTCATTCCAAGATCAGGAGCAGGGCACAGTGCATGTGAGAGGGTGGGCGACAGCTGGGGGTGGTCAGAGCACAGTAACCCGGCAGGAGTCAGATCAAATAAAACAGCACGCAGTACATGGAGCAGTTAGTCCACTTATCATTCCAGCAGGTTCACCCTTCTGGGGATTTCAAAAGTAAATATAATTTGTCAATCAGTCACCTAGTACTGACAAAAGGAAAGGAATTACAGCATCGCATATCAGATTAAACTATTCAAATTTCCTGACAAGGGCACTACAGTGTCTGCTTTTCTGCCTAACAGGTAAAAAATCAGGAAGCTGGTTTTCCAAATTGTTTTTTGTAGAATTAGCCTACTAGACTGAATAGGTTTGTGCTTGTACTTGCCAACAAGTGAAGTTACTGTGAAAAATTCAGAAGAACAACACTAAATTAAAATAATTAATCTTGAGACTTTTAATGAACCTGTTATTTAATTACATATGATTTACCCCTTTTATTTTTAAGGAAGGTGAGACCCATTGTTGGGGAATATTATAAAAATGAATAGACATTATTTAATTATTAAAATGAGAGAATGTCCTGCATTTCCCACAATTTAATGCAATACGAATTTCAAATCTAAAATGCACAACAGAAAATGGGATTTTTATTTTTAAACGGGACCACTTGAATGTCAACCAATGTAGTTTAAAAAGCAGCTTAACCTGACACTTTGAGCCCATGGGTAATACAAAAATGTACATTTCTCCATAACACTTTTCATAATGTTAGCTGCATCTTAAATAGCTATCGATTTATACCTATCCAGTCATTTTCTGGGACCACTTTTTTGTCACAGTGAACAAGGTGAATAGCTCTCAGCGATGTAAACGGTATTTTTATTTCAGCAGCTTAACAGCGCGAAATTGTATACACACATCCGAATGAAGATGTTGGCGTTACTGCTGAAAATGCTTTTAGTCGCAAGGTAAGAGTGACCCACTTGACTACATTAAGAAAGACAATTAGTTACGTGGCTACAGCCAGAATCATGTCATAACATATAAAGCTGGAAAACTTACCGTTCGCCATGGTGCTTTTGTTTTCTTTTTTAACCTTTCTGAAGATAGTTTTTTTTTTTTTTAGACGAACAGCTACATGTCTAATAAAACTGCAGTGAAGTGCTGGCGTGCCAGGTATACACAGCAGGAGTGGCAGAGCCCCGCACAGGCGGCACACCGTCATTCATGCCCTGCGATCGCACTCGGGATGCAGCGTCTCTCACGCTGAACCGGATGCACTTCCGCGTTGGCCATTTCCCACGATGCTCAACGGTAATGACGTAATCTCAGTGGATTATATGTTATAACTGGGATTTCCCTAAGTAGGCTCTACTGACCGTGACTTCTCTCTGTATAAAATGTACTGTTTGGTTTATACTATGATTGGTAAAAATGTTATTAATTTGATAATTATTTTAGCAAAATGTCACGTTCATAAATTGAATATAGCCATTCTAAACCTTCATTTATAGTATTTGAAAATAAACCAGGCAGTATGCTAAAACGATATTAATTAGTTATGAAAATAATAAAGCTGTGAAAATCATCCATTTGTGCTCTCTGCTTAATAATGTCATGTGTAGTGTTTCATAAGAACAATTCAAACGAGAGGAGGCCATTCGGCCCATCGAGCTCGCTTGGGGAGAACTTAACTAATAGCTCAGAGTTGTTAAAATCTTATCTAGC